AATGCTTAATTACATCATTATTGTGTGAAAGACAATGAAATAGCATAGTTTGGCAATAGTGTGTAGGAAGAGGAATGCATCAATTCTAGACAACTATTGTATCTTGATGAATAAGCCTTTATGTGACCATCTTGCTAGGGAGCTAAATTGGACCTATTGTACCACCACCCATAATCCTAACTCTAACCCTCCCTAAAACCCCCAATTCAATTGTATATGCCACCCTCTAGTTAATTGTAGGTTTCTTAGAAAGGGCTTTATAATATATAATTAAATTGAGAAGCGCTGGAGGGTTAGAGTTTGAGTTGAGGTCATGGAACGGGGTACAAAAGGAGGTCATGGAACGGGGTACAAAAGAAGCTCTTTCCACTAATATTGCCATTTATACATGTGTAGTCAGTCGTCAGAGAGCTAATACAGAATTAGTAATAATTTCATCTAACTATTTGGTTTTAATGTACCTACCTTTAGAAGAGTTTAATGGTGTATCTATCACTTCACATTTTGTGAAACCTACATCTCTAGACAGCAAGTATTCTGTAAACGTCTCAGGTTTCAATCGAATCTCTCTGTAGTTCTTGTGTATGGTGTCCTGCGAATTGAGAAAAGAAACAGTGACTCAAGGGGTTTATTAATCATTTTCTCAGGAGGCTAATTATAATTCAGCAGGGGATTCTTGTTATTCATTGTACAATTTACCTAATTCTCAGCAAGCCTTCATACTCCACCAGGTGGTAGACACAGCTTGCTGGAGGCTCTTAACACTTTGAAATGAAAACTCTTTTCACTTTGCACTTAAAAAGCATGAATAGTTTTTGCACATATTTTTTTTAAAAGGAAAATAGTCCGAATAAAAAATTATAGAAAAAAAGAAAAGAGCAAAATATTATATCAACATTGCAAAATAGTAGAAAATAACAAGGTTTGAAAATGAGAATCTCCATAAATATTCAAACCAATGTACATATACTGAATTTGTACTATGACAATGCATCATCTTTCAAACATCCTACAAATCTATTTGTTGCTAGCTTAGAAGTATTATTGGCGTTCCGCTCCGCTAGGATTGCCCTTATAATCACTTTTGTCGTTTTGTGTGTGTGTCTGTGTGTTGTACATTTCCAGTGTTTTCACATATGATTTCTTCTGTGATTTTTTTTGGCTTGGCCGATTTCGTTCAAACTTGGCAGGTAGGTCACCACCTTCACCCTAGTTATTAGGAAAAATCTGAAATTTTTTTTTGGCCCACCGTTGCCATAGCAACAGCCAAAAAACTGATTTTTGGATAGCATCGCGCCAAATGTATCTCCTACAAATTTGCGATAAAACACTTCAGACATAGCTCATTCTACTCAGCTTGAGTGTGGGAACAAAGTTACTATTTGAATTTTCGATATCTGTTTTCATTGCTGAGAAATTACACCCCAAAGTTAGGGTAACTACGTTTTTCGAAAAACCTGCGATTAGGCTGCGAAAGTAGAACATTCCGGAGGGGTCAAAACGGAAGAGCCAAATTTAACACGTAAAAATAGAACGCGTATTTTGACCTCTATGTGGTCGTTGCCAAAGAGCCCTGCGTCCATCGCCTGGCGATGCTGTTCCGTTTCACCAGTTGCGTTTTTTTTGACTAAAATTTGGGCAGTACTGTCAGTCACGAAAATTGATGTATACATTAATACACATAAAATATGAATCACGGGCTAATTCAATGGTCACCGAACACTCCACTACTAAACAATCTGTGGCAAGATAGTAGCGTACTGTATATTTGACCCAGATTTGACAAGCGTGGTACAGTTTTTTCCGCGTGTCCGTAATAACGCGCACAAAGGATTGTGGGACAGAGTCCTTTATTTGCTGGGATTCTCGACTTTTGACTGCAGTTCTTTTTTTTTATATTTTAGAGTAAATGCTTCTGATATGCTCTTAGGTTGCTTAATATCCATCTGAAATTCTGGACTGTGGTCACATTTTTCGATTAGAAGTCGTATATTTAAATAACTCACCGTGACTAGTGTTTAGCATTATGAAGTATATTGTTATGAAGGTCAACACACTGCAATTTAGGTAAATATTTACCATTTCATTATTTCGCTTTCCAGCATTTACAGGAAACGCTTCATTCTAGAAAATCTTATCGCAAAACGGTTGGAAATAATAAATGTAACAGCAGAATATGTCCTAGCACAGTCACTCTACTGGTAGAGTGACTGTGGTCCTAGTAATAAACTAAGTGACTTCTAAAGACTGAATGGTGTTTGCGAACTTCGTATTAGTTATAAACCGACGTTAGCTTCACGTTTATGTCACCATGGAAACAGCCAAAAACATATTGCTTGTTTCTGAGCGGAGCGGATCGCCAACCAGCCTACCGGCTTGTATATTACCTAACAGTGATTCCAGTCTTTAACAGAATTCTTTCCAAATACAGATTTAAATTTGTATGACCTTTGTACTGCAAAAGACAGCCAATCACAAACCTCCAATTGATGCATTATGTGTATGCTTTTAAACTCACAAGAACCATGTTATATTATATAACACAACATTTTTTCTGCAGAAAATCTTTTAATTCAAAGCCTGCTGCATTATTGAGGTACAAATCATTTCACCATTAAAATTCAAACCAACGTCTACTTCAAATGCACATGCATAATTGACATTCAACTCATTAACAATTTACCCAACTGAATCATTACGTCGGTTTTCTGAATACGCAGTTGCTGTATAGCAGAGAGATTAAAGTCATTGTTAGTCTATACAATGGTCACATGTGACAACAGTTCTGGGTAATTTGTTTCATATTGTACAAATGTATCTTGGTACCGGCTTATAATTCATTTAGGATTTCATGACATCCAGTGTACCACTTAAGTTATTACCGTAATAAACAAATCACGAAGATTAGGACGTCAATCACAATAAATCGGCTACTTAGTTCACAATCTTGTTTTTTTTTTCATCAAATCTTGATACAATAGTTTCTACAGTACTGGTTATCGGGTAAACGAGTATATTTACACAGGTAGAGTACTATTTTTTATTTGTTTTCTCATCTTCTGTGGTAGCAAATGGTTGATCAGATTTGTTTGCAAATGTCATATTTTTCACACATTATTCATAATGCATTAAGAACTCACATTTTTATTGACTTTGTGCAAAGTTTATCAACAGTGCATATAAACATATATTAAAGTTGTTTATTTAATTAGATTAAAGGACTACATGTACCAGTACAACCTACAGTACAGTTCTCGCGGAAGCTTTGGCTTTTGTGGCATCATTGTCGCCTACGCATGGCTTCATTGTCGCCTCAGCATCGCATCATTGTGGCATCAGCTTCGCGTCATTGAAAATTGAAGCTGTGTTCGCCTCGCTATTTTGTGGCATCATCGTGGCCTCAGCTTCGCAGTCTCATGGCATCAACATGGCATCAGCTTCAAAGTATTGTGACATGAGTATGACCTCATTATTTGCACGCAGAAGGGCAGTAGACAAAAACATGTACAGAAGTTCGATATGTAATCGATTTGAAATTCAAGGCGAATAAAATAATATGATCAAGAGTAAAATAACATTTTAAAAAGATATCTTGTTTAATTATTTTAGTGTTGCAAGTTTT